CCACGCCGCCGTCGCCGCCGCCGCACAAGTTCGTCTGCTTCGGGGCGCCGCCGCCGTCGTCTGACCGGCGCGCAGGTCTATCACGTCTGCTTGCGCTTTTTCGTGAGTTTCCTTTGGGCTCTAAAAGTTACTTATTCATCTTAGTTTTTTGTTTTACTTCAAACAAAGATGAATAAGTTACTGTTAGAGGCGATAGGAAGCTTCCGAAAGAACGCAAGCACCACGTGATAAATAAAGACCAGTCACGTGATAAATACAGACCACTTCTCCGCGGTGCCCGCGGGCGCCAACTACAAATTCGTTTTGCGCCATAAATATAGCTCTAAAAATTTTTTTTCTTCGTTGTAAAATCGTTTTATGGCGTCCTTTTTCCATCTAAGCCGTTTAAAAAAAATGTTTTTTTCCTTTGCATGTGTCCTTTAACTGAGAGGAAGCAAACAGAAAAGGTGAACTTCCTATGTCCCGATCACCGCGGGAGCGGATTCTTGCTATGGCGACAGTGTTTTTGGCAACACAAATCTCCAACCGAAGCTCGGCATGCTTTGAAACACACAGATCTTTTGCATCAAAACAAAAGTGGCAGTCTTTCCGTCAACGCTTGTTTCGGCACCGTGTCCATGCAAAGACATGTTGAGGCTAGCATGACCTAAGGGCACCAGAATGTCCAACTTTACTGGAGCTGGACTGAGGCAGGGGACACACGAGCAATGAAAATGGGCGCTGCGCAGCAGCAGCCATTGTAACCTGTGCTAACATCCCTACGTCATATTCTCGCGGTGTCATGTCACTCGGATCTGGTCGATGCAGATAAATTTGCGCGATGCGCCTGTGGTGCGCCTTGCAGCAAGTGGTGAGTGGTGCGCAGTGTCCACTTTCACTGCTTAAGTATGCCCTGCTCAACAGCGGCGGTCGCCTCCTACAACCTCAATTGCGACGAAGCCAACAGAATTACCATTGTTGCTAAAGGAGATAGCCCACACAGCTCATGTGAAAAGTGACACACATGAAAACAAGTCGCAGCAGCATTATTTGTTGTCTTGAGGATGCAGGTGAAGGCCAACATGCAGGAAGATAAGTTTGAACTACAAGAGTGGCAGCAAAAGCCACCGTGAATACCTGATCAGAATTGGAGTGGACATGCACGCGTTTTGATTCAAGTGCTGGAACAATGCTGTTGAGCTGTGCCTTGGTAACGGCATTAGGACCAATCTTTTACCACCTATGACATGAACACCTTGTCACTAGACAACTGGAACTCGATGCTGACATACCAGTTGGCAGAGCAAGGTTAGATAGGCATCGCGTAGCTCTCAAGGGACTAGCGCAATACGTGTTGACATTTCTAGTGCTGTCATGTCGGAATAAAATTAGCCTACTAAAAGAAACAGTGTATGTATCACATGGTGTGAAGGTAATTCGCGACTCCAGCAAAACGGACACCAGTAAGTGGGAAAATCGGGAACCAGCCGGACCAGGTCGCTTCCCGCCGTTCCACATCTCTGGTGTCTTTCGCGGACACGTTACGGTGGCTAGAAGGGGGAGGTGTCAGAATCGCCTAGCCCGCGCCGTGCAAGGAGGCGCGCTAGTATTTCATGACGATGAGAGGTGGCGCGCGCATCGACAATGAGGCGCCCGCGCGAGCCAGAGAAGGCACTGTGGCATTTTGACGAGAGATTCATAGTTCGCAACTACACGCACGTCATTTACGGCGAGACGGTGGAAATTCCTCGTGGTCGCCCTTGCCCGACAGCCAATGCAATCCCAACTTTGTTTCCGAACATCCCCGCGTGCCTGTCGAAGAAACTGCTGTCAAAGAGGAAGTCGGTGACGTCCAACGGCGACATGCCACGAAAGCAAAAGAGGGACGACGTCATTCGTGAAGACAAGCGCATCGTTGCAGCCAACATCACACCAGTAACGCAGCCCAGCACCAAAGAAAAGTTGGAGAGCATGAAAGAAGAAGATTTTCCAAGCAAATACCGGGCTAAGCACGCGATCCCAAAAGCACCGAACGTCGTAGCGTTTTCAGTGTGTGCACCAAATGGTGAAACTCTCTGCTTTCAGAAGCTGCTTTTGTGCTGTACTAGCGAGACAAGTATCCACTGCACCGCATACGTACAGGGATCAGTGGTGACAACTGTGGATGTCGACAGCGCTGATGCTGTGAAGGACCTGCTTTCGCAGATAAATACCCTTGTTCCTTGTGAGGGGTTCGAGATGGTGACGAGCATTGACATGATGCAAACAAAAACAGCACAAGATATATGCTGGCAAGCTTCACAGTGTGAAATGTGGTGGAGTTTCGCAAAATGAAAAGCGATGCCTGCAATGCAAATATCTATGCAGGTTCCTGTTGAACCAGGCTTCTTACAAGAGCACAAGAGCAAAACTGACCCGTGTTGAGGCATCACGAAAGGTAATTAGAAAAAATGCGCAACTTCGACGACAGAAGCACAACATTGCAAACCTGAAGAAAGACATTGAAAAGATAAAGACAAAGAATGAGTCCACCAGTACCGCTAGTTTTGAGCGGAAGATAGAAGGACTGTCCGAAAAGCAGCAGCTGCGAAAAGCAGCAGCTGCAAAAAGCAGCAGCTGCAAAGCTTCAACGAGGAAGGGGACCAACGGTATGAAGTTTGATCAAGAATGGATACTTGAGTGCATTGTCATGCACATGAAGAGCCCTCGACTGTACGAGCATATTCGAACATACAAGCTCGTGGTAGTCCCAAGCCCTCCGTGCCTACAGACATACGTCAAAACCTACAAAAGCAGCTTTGGCTTCATTGAGAAGGTGTCTGCAGCAATAGCCAAGAAGTCAAAGGACATCAATCCATACCGGCGACACGGAGGGCTTCTTTCTTGTTGATGAAACGAAGCTTTCAGAAAGCCTGATGTTCAACAAAAAAGGACTCATCGATAGATTTGTTGACCTCGGCAGCTACAGCTCCGCGGGTCAGGAAGGTGTCACTTGCGACAAGGGCTTGTGGTACTGTTTCAGCCGTTCACAGGAAAATGGCAGCAGATCCTCGGCGTCTTTGGCGCACGAGGTAATGTGAAGGCAGATGTGCTGTCCAGAATCGTTGCGGATGCTGTGATTTCTGCGGAGAGGTCTGGACTTTTTGTTGATTTCATCACATGCGATGCCGCCTCCTGGAACAGGAGTATGTGGAAAATGTTTGGTGTCGCCGGGAAGCTCACGAAGACAGTCTGTAAAGTTCAACATCCAGTGGACCCGAGCCGGTATCTACACTTCATTTCAGACTTCCCGCACCAAATGTGTGCGAAACTCTATATCTTCAACAGGGCTTCAGACTCCAGATGGACGAGTGAGCGGCGAATTCGTAAAAGAAGCATGGAAGTGCGACAGTGCAAGTACTGTGCCTCTCAAAGCAATGCCGCACGCAACAATGGCTGTTTTTCAGCCGAATGGATGCGAGAAGATGCGAGTGAATCTTGCATTTAGATTCTTCAGTGACGAGGTACTGAGGGGCCTTTATGTATATAGACATGAAGTGGAGAGCCGTTATGGGCCTGGGAGCCCAGTGGCCACTTCATTGTTTGTCGCTATGCTGAGGGACCTCATCACTTCCATGACTTCAAAGGCACCGCCGAACTGGTTTGAGACCAGAGATGGAACAAGTCAAGCACATCAAGAGGTTTCAACAATACCTTGACAACTGGGAAGCCACTGATTGGAAAGCTGGGGTTTTTGAGCCAAGCTACAGCTGAAGGCTTTCGGGTGACTCTTGCAAGCACACTCTCGCTCCTGACATACGTGACAAAGACTTTGGGATTCAAGTATTTGATGACCGCACGTCTCAGTCAGGACTCCATCGAGAACCTGTTTGGCATCTTGAGACAGATGTCAGGCTGCAACGACCACCCCACGCCGACGCAGTTCTTGATTTCAGTGAACTGCCTGAGCTTTTACAGCTTAGCACGGTCACCCACAAGCGGCAACATTTTACAAGGACTCTTAAACAGCCTTCTTGATCCTCGCAGCAACTCTGACCCGGCAAAACTGCAAAACAAGCTGGCCGATCTCTTGGATGCGGACTACCTGAACGAGGCTCATGAGATGATAAAAGCATGTAGTGCATTGCCAGAGCACGGTGACACGGTTGCATTAAAAAGCGACTCTCGGATAACCTACTATGTTAGTGGCTATGCTGCCCGCAAAATGTTGAAGAAAACCAAGTGCGAAGAGTGTTCGAGGTTGCTTCTTCAGCCCAAGGATTCGCCCTCGCTCCCAGGGGAGTCGTGCCTGACAAAGTACATGGACAGGGGAGGCCTTCTTTACCCGTCCCAGGCACTCAAGGACCTAGTTGAAATAATGGAAGATGGAATCACATACTGTTTCACCTTCAATAAGTTGAGGGCGAACAGCGTAAGGTATCTCCCATCTCCTGCCTCTCCAAAAACAGACTGAACTTGGTTGGCTGCGCAGAGCACACTGTCGAAGTGACAAATCAAGTTATTCGTTTCTTTGTGCTTACTAGAATGCATTTCCTTGTTGCAGCTCAGAATGCGTCCAGACAAGGCAAGAGGGACAAGATGAAGTACCTCAAGCTGAGGCATACAATGTGATCTCCGTTTCTGGTTACCGTACAAACTACTTTCTGTACTTTTTTTTTTTTTTAATATTGGTTGTTTTTTAAATAAGTGAGGATACAGGTTTGAATATTCAAATGAAGGTGTTCTTTCTATTTGCTAAAAAATGTCAGATATGGGCCCTTGTGGCCCATATTTTCGAGCATCGTGCAGAGAGACATATTCGTGACCAATTAATTTCGCGGATTCTGTGAACAACATAAGCAATTCGAGTGGGTTCAGGAAATCATCAGTGTCTTAATTGTCCTGGTGCCTCTGTCGCTCGTTATTTTAGTCACTGTTGATGTAACCAATGTTAATGCCTAAGCCAGCCTTTATAGTTAGGTAATTTGTGCGACAAGCGTTGCATCACACAGCATCCCTAAATAAGCTCAAGGACTACTTACGAAGCACGACGGTACGCAGGTTTTGGGGATCTCCAAAGGCTTCTTTCTTTCCCCCGGACCCACACCAGCTCAACCTGAGGGCAAGGTCATGCTGCACAAGGGCACAGAGGATCCGGCGTGTGGTGTCCTTTTCGTCGTTGCCCCCAATAAGGGCTAGGTGCTGGACCTGTACGAAACACAACCACCATGAGACCCAAATTCAGACAGATCTAATGAAAGGAAAAAAAAAAGCCATGTCAAGGTATAATCTCGTACATCGCCCAGGAGCTGGCAATTTATGATAGGTGACTGTACCAAATAGATAGTCAAAAATCCCAAAAAATAGGTTTCTTAGCCAACCTGTCAGATTTATTACCCAAACCATCCCCTTGGCTGTCTACTCTTTTCAAGGGTGGATAGAGGAACAAAAACAAAAAATTCACAGGAAAAAAAAAACAATAGGTAGAGCACAAAAACAAGTCATACACAGAGGTAGTTCGACATTGTACCACGAGTCAAATAAACGTCGGACATGTTACATCATAGGAAAACCTTTTTCAACAGTATGTCTCAGCACATTTAGAGTGTCCACAGGCACTCCAACAGAACATTTTCAGAATTTTGGTTTTCCTTGCACACCACAAAAACGGGATATTCAGGGTGTCTAGTAAATTATTCTTTTGAAATTCCCCGACTTTTCCAGGCTTTCCCTGACAATTTCAGGTGAAATTCCCTGACCACTCTAGAGGTGGTTAAATATATAAGACCATTACAACACAAGGCATTGAGCACTGTGAGGATCATTTTGCACAGGCTTAATCCAACTTGCATATACCGAAATATTTGGGTTCGTCCAGTCCGGGTTAAACAAGCACTTTCTTGCTGCTGACATCGTCAGTGAAGAGGCCACTTCCGGAAACACGATGAAAACATGACGCTCAACCACACTAGTCAATAACCAAATGGCAACATGGCCGCCAGACGCACTTTCGGATACTTTCGGCTGAAGGCTTGGATTGGAGTCTGCGGCTTTCCCATTTGTTACCATATCTACTACAAGGAGGCTCTAACTGGATCTAGCCTAGTGTCGCGCCCTCAATCCAATCCATTGCTTCGACTGGATTTGTCGGTTCTGTTTGCATTGGGCAGCACACTGTACATCGGGGGAGCAGAGCTCACGCCTCACTCTAAGCAGAATTTATTGCCCATATTTCTGCCCCCAAGTCCTCAGGTCTTTGCTCAGGGCACTCGATGGCCTTTCCGGCTCATTTTGCCTGACTGGGCTCGCTTTTTGACAATTTCCCCGACAATGCCTTGATTTTTCTCGAAAATTAAAATTTCCCTGACAATTCCTGGTTTTCCCGGTCACTAGACACCCTGCATATTATGCTAAAGAGGCTTCAGGAGACTACACGATTTCTCATGATTTCTGTCTGGTATGATTGACCACTAAAATAAATGTGTATATAGTAAACATCAAAGCACATTGATTATACCGGTAAAGTTGGCAATAAAGGTTTTCCAATCCAATCCAATGCATGGCCTGCTGTCTAATGTTCATAACTCCCACCCTTCTTTTGGCAACTTTTACAGCGGAGCTGTTAAGGGCTAGGTTCCTTAGGATTGTGTCCGGTATGTCGACACAAACCTGCCTAGACAGCTACCGCCATATATAAGCGACGGCGGCAAGCACACAACCAGTGTGGTTTCCGCCGTCACTCGTAGATGGCGCCAACCTGTCGAGCTATAATAGAAGAATGGATAGTTGGGCACGTTGGTGGGAATTCATCGTAGGAAACAGCGCGAAAAACAGACGACGACAAAGAAGAAGCACAGAGTGTATCGAGTACAGCTCCGCTGGTCTTTCTTCTTCACGAAACTGGAAAGGCTGAACGATTTTTTATCTTGGAATGGTACAGCTTCAAATATACTGCCTTCTCAAACGTAGTGTATGGCTTTATATATGTAATCTTATTTTTATTAAACATTATAAACCAGGGGTGGCCGTTGTGGACACGAGTGAAGAGCCATAAAAAAATAACCATTTCAAGAGTCGCAGCAAAAAGGTAAACAGGAGGCATTATACTTGTTTAATTCCTTTCACCTCACTTATAGCCACAGCGAATTCCAGTCATAAAGCAGCTGTTCATCACATTTCTTTGTTACGTGTCCCCATTTGTGAAACAAGCACCTTGAGGTTGGGCTGCGAAAACACAAACTGCCCTTTCTTTTATGTCTTTTCCCTTGTGGTCTTGGGGAGGGGGCGAACTGACATACCAGGGAGCTGCGAGCCATACCTGCACGCGTAAAGAGCCACAGGCAGCTCACCAGCTGAAATGTGGCCACCGCTGCTCTGTGCTGCCATCCCAAAAGTCAAAAACCCGCAAAATAAATTGCGTAAAACTGCTAGATTTCAGGTGCAGGGCAAAAATGACCTTTTAACTGAATTTATTGCTACAGAAGAACCCTGATCACGCAACCCCGGCTCCTGCGACGTCACGCATTGTACGACGACTTGGTGCAGACCCGGCCGCACTAAGTCTTGAAGTTTAAAATCCTGAACTGGTATCGAAGTTTAGAATCTTAAACTAGTACTTAAATTTAGAATCCCATAGCCTCCATTTCCTTTTTTTTTTTTTTTTCTGAATTCATGTGCATAGTTTACCGGGCCCACTCCATTTGGCAGACTTGGAAAACAAAATCATAAATTCATGCACAAATCAGTTCGAAGCATGTCTCAAGGTTTTGCCATAGGGTGTGTTCAGATATGGACGGTCATGGTGGTGTCATGCCTATTTTTTGTTTTCAGTCATATTTTTATATGAGGTAGCTAAACTTGTCCAAATAATGGGACAGACCTTACTTTTGCAAGATACTTCCTTGTATTCGTGAGAAGAATCGCATTCGAGAGAAGGTTGAAAAAGCGATTTTCCCAACTGCGCAATGACGCAACTTTGAAGGCTGGAGGACTAAAGCGTGCAGCTTTGTACACAGTCAACAGTTTTTACGTTTACTGCAGGCATACTTTACTACCAGAATTAGTTCCAGTTAACTTATATGACCATATATTTCAAGGGATATAAAATGCCAAACTTGGCTTCTCGAGCAAATCTTACATAATGAGGCATTTTTCGGCGAATTTTTAAGTTGCTTTAAATTTATATTCTAAAGCTGAAACCTTTTGCATCGAGTGTTTAATGCTTTGTGAACTTTTAACAAATTAATTAGCGTTCTACAGTTGGAAGCGTTTTCTGCACTGTGCTCAGAAATTTCGTCAAAATGGAAAAAGTCAAAATTTTGCAATTTTTGTGTGGCAATTAAAAAAAAATAACCATTCTCGATTTTTTTTTTAAATTTACCCGATAGGCCGTTGATGACCAGTAAATACAAATCTGCAAAGACATGTTGCATTATATTGTTTGAAAACATCAAAATAAATGCGTAACTAGGTCGTGGTCGCGTCAGTTTCTGCTGGGGCGTTTCCGTCTTAAAGGCCCATGAAACGAATTTTGGGCTGGAATAAATCAATTTATATTGGGATGCTACTAATAGCACATCGCTCAGTGGGCCAAAAGAAAAAAGGTAGAAGGTCAAAAGCCTGAGTTTCGGTACGAAAATTTGAAAGAGACAGCCAAATGTGCGCTCAGCGCTATTCAGGTCGCTCCAAGATCTCTTGAGACGGCTCATCCGCAATCAGAAAAGTCATGATCTATGAGTGGGTCAAGGGTTGCAAGAGAGTTATTGATCTGGGGAATTCATTTATGAAATCCCAAGAGGGTCATAGAGTGCAAAAACCTGCAGATGTTTATTTGCAATTAGAACGCTCTTGGTGTGAATCAGCCTGTGAATCAGCCAGCGCTGCCACCTATTGCTGTAAGCCGTCGCACGCGCACAGGTTCGTGGTTCACTATAAACGGAAAATAAAGAAAGAACTGACGATCAGTCGACCGGCCTACACCGTGGCGAGGTCTTTATAAACAGAAAATAAAGAAAGAACTGACAATCAGTCGACCGGCCAACACCATGGCTCTTGCCAATAAAGAAGACGAAACGCAAGTTTTAAAATAAAGGTAGTTTAAATAAAACAATGATTTAAATAGAAACAGGAATAATATAATGGGGTTCACAAGTAACGAAACGTGGCAACAAGTAGCCTCAGCACTTCACCCTGCCTGTGCACGGGCGGCAAAATGCAAAAATACCTAGCGAATACACAGAAGAAAAACAATTACTAGAGAACTAAAAGCTGAAATCCTAAAATCCTGAATTACTACCAACCAGGGCTGGGCAGTATAACGATACAAATGTATCACTATAGTATCTCGGAGACACTTTCAGGTATCTGTATCTCTGTATCGTGATACATTTAAAAAATGTATTTGTATTTCCGTCACCTCGACAAGAGAGGTCTTGTGTATTGACCTTCGCACACCATACCTTCACCAAGAAACGTTTGCGCGTTGCAAGCAGCCGACAATTATTGCCCACCTTGCTAGTCTTCTAAACCGTTTGTGACGTGTGCCTCCCATAAGAGTGCAATATCGTACAGTATTGAAAACTGCAGTCACAAAGATGTTGCCGACATTGTGCTCACGACGATTGCCCAAACGGCGGCAGCCGCCACAGCCTGCAGCTGCAGCAGCTGCCATTTTCTAACAGTGCTCGTTTTGGCTTTAGCCAACTTCTCGCGCATTGCGAATCCTCTTTGAAGGAGCACTAAAACTCTTTGCGTATGAATGCAATTTCCAAAAAATGATGTATGATAAAATAGTGCACGCAAAGTGCAAAACGGGGTTAGCGTTAGGCGCATGTGCAGTGGCAGTGGCAACGTTATTCTTTGCATGCACTACTCAAACTTGCTTCTGAAGAGTGCAGCCTGCAAAAAAAAAATCACTGATCGATTTTCTAAAAACCACGTGAAGTGAAAACACATCTGTACTGGCGCCTTTATCGCGCCACAGTTTCATTGCATTTGCATTTATTTAAAAGCTTTGCTCTCTTTTCGCCCAGCAAGTTATTAGCATAGAAGTAACGAAAGGAGTTACACATATTTTTATCATGCGAGGCCAAGCCCCAAAGTCGTAATCATTTTTTTAATTATATGACTCGCATATCATATGACGCTTTTGCGCGGTCCCCTGAAAGTCGCATATTCAAGGTTCCACTGTATAAAGTTATGAGATTTGACCTCTAATAACCGGAACTTCCCAAGAATATTGCCCTCAGTTAATGATCAGATAAATAAACTTATCTTGCAATCTGTACATTTCCCATGGTGAAATGCACTACCGTAAAATACTGCGGAAGTGCCCACTATTAACATTTCCCAAACTTGGGAAATCTGCAAATTCTATGTTAAGCGCCTGATTTGAGTGGACAAGCATGCATGTTTAGATTAACTCCGTTCTCAGTGAAAGTAAGGTGGGTGCTCCCTTGGTATTTTCTGGTACTTGATCTGCCTCCAAGTTGAGGAGGTATCCACTGTTTGCTTTTTTGAAGTGTATTCTAAGAGAAACAATATTGTATACATTGGAACCCTCGTTATATAACTTTCAGGGGGCTGCGCAAAAACGTTATACAACCCAAGAGTCATATAATAAAATATAAGCATGACAATTCTGGGCCTCGACTACACATGACAAAAATGTGTCCAACTTCTATATTTACTTGTAAGCTAATAACCTGCCAGGTGAAAAGGAAAACAAAGCCCTGAAATAAATAAAAAGTACATGAAAATGTGGTGCATGCAGTAGAGGTGCTGATGAAATTTCATTTCCACTTAACCTCATTTTCAGGAAAGTGATCAGTAATTTCCTGTTAATACTGCAGATTGGGTGAGTTGATAAGGCATAATTGCAAACCAGCACACAGGCAGACAATTACTCAGAAATCCAAACACACAGAAAACACACTGACACAGCACTGTGTGAGTGCATTATTTTGTGTGTTTGGATTTTTGAGCAACTGCCTACCTGTGCGCTGGTTCGCAATTAAATATAATTTCCTTTCGGAGGCATCGCTCTCTAGAAGTGAGCAACGCTGTCTTGGTCGTAAACAAACTGCTGAAGGCCATCGAACATGATGCTTCTGCACATGTCAAATCATGCATCCTGGTGCCTGTGACGCTGTCAACTTTGTCCAAACTATTGGCTATGCGTCGTTCCCTTTTTGATGACTTCATTGAGCGACACTGCATCATGGATGGCGATATTGTCGTTGGCATTTGACGTGGTCTACAAGCCACGACGAGTTCATGCAGGTGTGGCACACCGTTATTCAAGAGAATGGAATTGCCCAGCAACCGGAAATCATAAGTAGAGTTCCAGCCTGTCGCGCATGCGCATATCAGTCAAACCTGAATCGAACCTTTGTCAAACTTTTCGCAAGAGGCTAGAAAAAGTTGAATCTGGTCAAACTCAAAACTCAACCAATTACACTGATACCCGACAACTTTTTTGCTTTCTAAAAGCACGGCACAGCCCATCACCTACAAGCATGAGTGCACGGATCGATTTGTTACCACAGGAAAATATGTTTGCAGGGTCTATTTTTTTTTAATTTATGCAAGTTGTAAAAATTAGGTGCTAGTGGAAATTAAGTCATTTACAGTAAATAGCTTTTAGTCATTGCAAAGCCACCCAGCAGTTTGCTTGTTCCATCTTGGTTGCCTGCCTTTTATGTCGCAGATTGGTTTAAATAGAGCAAAAGCCATATCACACTATTATTGAGAAAGATATCACCATAAAGGTCTTAGTCATGTCTCATTACAGTGGGCTCTTCCATTGGCGCAATAAATTTTTCGCAATGAGCTGATGACAGCCGCTAACATCAGCTCGTAAAAAAATTCACAATAATAAAAAAAAACATTACTTCACTGCTTTCCTGAAACATCCGTTATTGTGGTTCATTACTTCTGAATAAAAATTAAATTGTAGTTGTAATTGAAGCACATTTTAGCCACTGCAATTCCAAAATACAAATTACAATGGGCACAACAATTTTTTTTTTCCCGCACTGAGGCTTTTTTCTATGAATTCACGAACAGATAGAAACATGCACAAAATCTGGCTCATTGCCCTTCTGTCAAACCATGGGGTTTCATCACAAACACACATGCCGTCATTCACAGGACAAATATGCACCTGATAAAGTTAAGTTGCCAGGATGGCGGGGAACCATGAAATTGGTGCAAATATGATTTACGCATTGAATATGGCAACTATACACCGAAATTGTCATAAAATCTCACCAGAACATCCAGCTTGTCTTGCGAGGCAGCGTAAGCGTTGACCTCCTTGAGGCCGTCGTACGTGCTTGCAGGGAGCGTGGGGGCGTCTGGAGGCAGCGCGACTGCTACCTTCGTGGCTGAGGTAGCCACGACACTCTTCCTTAGCTCGGTAAGCTGCGTGATGATGTTGGCCTGGTTCTCCAGGACCAACACTTGGAAAGCTGGAAAAAGAACATATAGACCCACATGCGGCCCTGAAGTCACGCAGCTGCAATGGCGCTGTTGACAGCACTGCGCATGCGCAGACTTTTCACCTCACGCAAATTTGGTTTCTGTGCACGCGCAGTACCCACACCTGGTGTGGGGGAACACACGTGCTTGTTTGTAAACAGCGTGTCGGTCTATATTTACCACTTTACTATTTAACACCCATTCTTCTACAATGCATGAAAATCAAAGTTTAATTTCACTGTAATCCCAATTTTGGAAAATTGAAAATAAAAATAAATGCCATTTGGGCATAAATGTCTGCTAAATTCAAAAGAACGTGCCTGTATCAAATGATATTTATTCGGCTGGGTTTGGCATTCGCGTCTTTGCCACTGTTAACACCGCATCTCTCCCATGACAAAAGTTACACAGAAGTGTTGCTGGAACAGGCATTGATACTCTAAAATCACTAGAGACCCAGATGTAGTCATTTCCCATCCATTTCACCCTGTGGCTGCATGAAGTGCAGTACTGATAGTGACAGCTCCCTTCCCCCCCCCCCCCCCCCCCCCCCCCCATCCCAGACACATGCACACTGTCCCATAAAATCTACTGGTTCATACTTTTTACTTCTATAAAAACCAAAACCTTCCCCCCCCACTAAGGAGCACAAAGAGTATGGCTCAGACTGCAAACGGGAACAGTGGCTTTTGTCGTGACCCAGAGGTATAATAACCAGTTGTCCTCAACAAACCTAGACAAGATAAACAATAAAACGTCTTTTGTCAACTATCAGAGATTCGAAAAAAAACAGGAATGACCTCTCCTTGGGAACAGTGACCTTGTGTTGTGACAAAACTCAGTTACAGAATACAGATTAAAACGTTAAAAGCCTGAACTGAAACAGGACGAAAAAAGACACGTACGACAAGGACAAGCGCCAAGTTTCAACCGATTTAATATAACACCAAACGTCGGCAAACTGTCGATCCCCATCAGATATATACACCGCCATGCAACAAGATAAAGGTTCCTATCACTCATCGCATGCAGCCACCAAGAAAGACAACTTCTTTTTTCAGCAGATAAAGGAAAGGCATGCTTACGCATTTGTTTTTTTCTTTTCCTTTCCTTTTTTACACTGGGACATCAAAAGTGTGAGTTTATCGGATAAATCTAATTTTATAAAATTTTATTGGCAAATGTTTGTTTGAGTTTTACGGTTTTATCCGAAATCACGGCATGCTAATTATGTCCCACTAGCCATATAACTCGCCTGTACAAACCGAATTAGTGTACATTGCACAGCTAAACAGGTCTGTTTGAAGTAAAATCAAACACATTGTCTATTGCTTCCTTGGTGTGCCGGAAGTGTGATGAAAATAAGTTGCAATAGCAGAGGGCATACATGCATCTGAACTTTTTTTTTACATGTGTTCACATAGTCCAAGATTTCCTAACATATGTGAAAATACAGCCAATTTTTAATGCTCACTGTGGAATATTTACATAAATGCTCATGAAAGATGTGTACCAGCGTGTAAACGTTTTTCACGTAGGTTTATTATTATCGAATGGGGATATTTACGTATACAGGCTGATGAAAGACATGGACCAGCATGTAAATGTTGTTTACGTAGGGTGATTACTATCCAATGTACTTTGTCTTAAGGCCATCATCAGGGTATGCATTAAAGGTGTGCATTAAACACGGTGCTAGAAAATAGTGACGCCGGGCACTGATATAATACTATACCCGTGCCATGCCAAGTATCATAAATTGTGTCCAGCACTCCAGAGATTTCGCTGTGATAATGATCCTGAATGTGGATTTTACAGGAAAGACGTTCCTCAAAAAGAAAACACACAAAACAGCTGGTGCCATGTTTTGCAGCAGCCTAAATGTCAAGGGTGAGAGGCCCTACTACAGTGTAGACCGCATATAACGTATGTCGCGGGAGTCGCGAAAATCCGCACTATAAGCGGTACCGCGTTATAACCAAAACATCAATTTTTCAGGCCAAAATACATGCCATGAGACAACTTACCCTTGTAAAAGAATTTATTTTATGTTCGATGAAAAATAAAGCTTAGTTTGAGGAAAGTCTTTATTTCACCAGACTAGTACAGTTATGTCTCAAGTGTGTCACACATTTTGAAAGAAATTAGCGGCTTTTGCCTGGCGCAGCCTTTTAACGGCGTCGCGGGTTGCAGACGGACGTTGCGAGCGTTCAGGATTGCTAACCCTAATCACTTTTCTCCGGAGATGAAAACGCGTGAAAATTCGCATCCTTCATACGGTACGCGCCAGTAATACCTTGAACTTTAGCACACGCATGAAATGCGCCAAATAAGAAATCCGGGCGATGTTTGAGGTCACAAATGCTTAGAAATCACCACTGTAGTCGAAGTAAACAAACACGACGACACGGGCGTTTCTGCGGTCTTGAGAGCGCCGCCACGGCATCGCTGCACGAGTAGGTGGATCTTCCCTTCTAGTACGTGCTGGGTTATCATAGCGACACACAACGAAAATTCACAGTCAAGGATAGCGCTTTTACGCAGAACAATGAGATGACCGCCGTCTACGACGACGATCACAACCGACACCATGTTTACGGAGAAGCAGCCGGCCCGCGACCGGTACGCAACACGCGCGAACACTTCTCCTCGATCTGCGATTGGTCTGTCGGTGCGGTTGTTTGTTTCTTTGTTTCCAACGCAGCGGAGGGACGCATGCACGTGAACGACACGTGCGTGCGTCCCTCTGTCGCTACGGTGGCTACGGCGACTGAAACCTCTCTCTTCGCTTCTCCCCACTTCTTCGAGCAACATCCTCGCCCCGCGCCGTCAGCGCCGTTATCTAGTGTCGCACAAGGAAGCGTGCCCGCTGCTCCGGTCGTCGGCGCGGTCGGCGGGCTGTGCCAAAAACCGCACTATAGCCGGTATTTCCCTTCGCGCGCCTGCATTTTAAGCGGTATGTAAATACATGGAGTTCTATGGGAGGCGAACCGGTGGTTTAAAAAAACCGCGTTATACCCGGTCCTGCACTATAAGCGGTTACGTTGTAAGTGGTCTATACTGTACATATATTATACTTCCTCAAATAAATTCTCCCTGGCAAGGGCAGCAGCTGTGGTACAACTGAACTAAATTTAATAATTTATTTTTGCTCGAAATAATGAACAAGATTACTTAATCGAGGGTTTGGAGTTAGAAATGGCACTGACCTCAATATTTTCAAAGTACACCTGTAAACAATATGTAAGGCTCATAACATATGCAGCTAACATTAGAACATATGCAATAAAAGATGTTGTGCTATCACATCCCCAGCAAAAATTACAATAATAAACCAGTAAACTGATAGACCAGTAGATTCCTATTGTAAAAAGTAGGTGGGTCCTATAGTACCGATAGAGGCCCATTGGTGTATTGGTCAAATAGAGGACTACTGGTGTATTGGTTTATTAGAGGCCTATTTGTGTGTTTGGTTCAGTAGAGGCATGTTGGTGTATTGGTCCAATATCGGCCTACTGATGTATTTGCCCTTACTGGGACATTCTAATGGGCTACATCAATGGGCCTCTACTAGCACATTCTAATGGTGCCTGGAACATGTTCCCGAGTGCTATGCTCATCGTCACTTTATTTTAGTTCCCTCTATCTTTGCCTGACAACGTCATAGAAGTGTCATGCTGTTCCATGCCACGATCCTGGTGGTGGTAGAGCAGCAGAAGGCGGGTGCGGTAGGCCCCTGTTGTGCTGTAGCTCGTCTCCAGCTTGATAGTCCATGGAAGATTCAGCAGCCAGGAGTTGGGACGCTACAAGAGCGACACTTGTGTTTCCTATTATTCGCTGGAACACATAGGGCCAACCATTAGGATTGCGACATAACACAGCATCCAGCTCCTGCGACATAATTTGTCACCATTTTGGGGCTACCTTAAATGCATAAGCAGCATAGGATGGCCAAAGACAGCAGTCACAAATGCATTCAAGGCACTCTACTATAGGTTGTTTGCGCATGACGTCAATCCGCCATTTTGTTGTTAGTTTGGTTTTTGAAACAAATTTACTACATTGAAGGATTACATCGTAACCGGTTGAAATGATGTCAGCGGTGCTCTACGCATTTGAGAAGGCATGTATATCCTTGAAATGCTCGAGTTTGGCACATTCCACACAGATCGCAACAACAAAATGGTGGACGAAATCACGTCAGTGAAAACACCCTATACACTGTTCATTATGACTACTTTGCATAAACATTTTCAGATATATCCAGTGAAAACGATACAGTGCACAACTGTACAGAACATGCATAAACATACCACAACCGGGCAATAAAAATGGTGTTTTCGTCATTAAACTCAAAAGTGGTAAGCAAATGTAGTGTTCAAGATGACTGAAAACATTTGCAATAAGTTAGCTATTTCGTAAATTCTCATAGTAACAAAAAAAAATAAACATAAAAAGATAATGCATTGCTTTGTTTGCTTGTCATAATGACAATTGGTATGAGGTCTAAAGAGAACAGCCGTACACTTGTTGCAATGAAATTGACTCAAACTTGAAACTGCTAGACGAAGGTAACATTTTTTGTGAGAATGAATATTGCACTAAACATGTTTCTAGAGCAAATGTACAGCCTACTTCACTCGCTTCTATTACAGTTTATCTAGCGTGCCAAATTCTCTCCTGATGGTGCGACACACAGACTCCCACACCAACATTACCACCAGCCAGTGTTCTTCTGCAATGCGCAAGTGGTACATTACTGACGGCGCACATTGCACAGACGTCAGTAAGAATCGGTGCATACAGCTCACCTCCAAGGACAAGACAGGCTTGACAAAAAAAAAATGCATGTTTATCTGAGCAGGCCTGGCAATCGAGTGCTACCCTTTCACACGCTCTGAGCCAGCTAATGTCTTTCTCCTTTACTTGTCCACATGTCACACAACTCGTCAATTTGATGAGATGAAATCAACTCTGGTCATTTTTTCCAATACAGAGGGTGGCCACAATTTTAATTGATTCACCAG